CTGAAAAGGTGGTGTCTATTTGCTTGTGACCATGCTGTGTATGTATGCAATTGTACTTGCACTGAGCAATACTGACAGTTCATATCCTCTTGAGTTATGCTTTTCCTTTTATGTTTTTGAAAGCATAAGTTTGATGTCAACACAGTAAAAGTTCTGTTTGAAGTTGTAAATTTATCAAAAGTAAGAAAAGTTCATTCTTATATTTTAAAATGTTAAGTGAATTTTAATTTTTCAATATTGAATAATCATTGGAATGAATTTATTGATTTAAATTTGTTTTGTACTTAAAAGTCTTAACTAATCCTAGATTCTGGAAGTTAATGGACAAAGTTTTGAACATGTGAGCCATGCTCGAGCTCTGGAAATTTTACGAGGAACAACACATCTTTCCATTACTGTTAGATCCAACCTTTTAGGTAGGATGATCTAAAATTTAATGTGTTTTTATGTTCAGAAATAACAGTTTTGTTTCCAAGTATTTGTAATTTAAGATAAAAGGTGTTCTGCGAAGTACTGTGTAAAGGTGGCAATCTATATGGCCTTTAATAAAAGTAATTATTTCTATGTATGTATACATAGGTATAACAAAAATTTCTCCATCTTTTAATGAAAATTAGTTAAAAGATTATTCCTTGTGAAATTTTTCAGGTATTCAGTATTGGTCATTTTTATAGATTCATTTTAGAAAAAGTAGCCAATTCAATGTTCTAAAATATGTATTGAGCAAATTTCAAGTTGACCTAAACATTGTACAGTTTTATTTTTTTATATTTTGTGCTTTATAAATCTAACAAGTTGTGTTAGAATTTAAAATTGTTTTGACTTCAAGCTTTTAAAGAAATGCTCAACACACCTGTGAATTCTCCTCGACAACAAGTAAGAAAGGTAGCTGAAATTGCCCACTTACAGCCTAATCCCAAGGCAAGGTTATCTTCTCACTTTGACTTGGGAGACATGAGGGGAATAGTGGACATTCCTTTAGAGTTAGGAGTGAATGCATTACTCCTGCCTCCAAACTCCCCAACGCTTCATTGTCGTAAGACATTATCTGATCCTGCAACAAATAACAAACAGGAAAAGAAAGGGTTCAAGACTCTCAGTAACAGAGTAAAGCTTAAAAAGGCTCTAGCAAAAATGAACATTATACCCAAGTCCATAAATAGGTGAGCAAACTGTACTGACATCTAATATATATATAGATGTTTTTTATTTAATACCCTTTAACTCAGTTATAAATGTGTTTCACATCAAATTGTTTAAAAAAAAAGAGAGATATATATGAAAATAGGAACTTCTTTTTAAAGAGATCTAGGCCAACAGTGCTTGGTTTACAGCACTTTACGACGTGAGAATTCTGAAGTATTTTGTGCCTTTTTGTATTAGCATTAAAAGAAGAAAATTGACAACTTGCAATTGATGCATGTATTGTTAACCCAATTACTTTGACATATTTTTAACAGAGAAATTTTGATAAGAAGATTCCAAACCATAAATGTGATTCTAGAATAGTTGTAGTAGAAATAATAATGAGATTGAGAGAATAAAGACTTGATCTCAGAATGCATACTTTATTTACGTTTCTACTAGAAATACAAAACTTTTTTTAAAATTGTAATTTTTTTACTGTGATGAATATTGTGCTTTGCTACCATAGTCTGCCTTTCATATTTCATCATACATTAGTTTATTTTCTATTTCTTTGTATTTTCAGGGCTCTTACTGTATTCAATAATTGTACTTGAGTTAGGATTTTTCTTAATCATATTGTCATATGAAATATATTTGTTAAATGTTAGATATAGTCTTCTGTAATAATAAATAGTTTAATTAAATTCATTAGGAACCAATGAAATAATAATATTATTATATTTTACTAATTAATATTAAATATTTTATGTGAAAACTGATTAGTGAAAAGTAACTCCAGGACCAGGAATGGTTACAAAATATTTTTAACAAGTGTATGATAAATTTGGAGTATTTGCCCCTTATGTTTATAAAACATTTTATTTATTTATTGTTTTTTGTGATTAAGCTATAATTTTAATGATTGTGGTAGTTTTAATTAATCTTGTACTTTCTATGTAAGTTCCATTCTATTAGTGATCTTTAGCAGCTGTTGAGTGTTTAAAACTCTGAATGCATCAACTTTTTTTGTCTAGCGAAATGCAGCTGAACAGTTCCGATGACAGTTTGTATTCCCTAAATAGTGGCAGCAGTAATGGATCAACTTATCATCAGGGGACAAGAGGAGGTTCTCCTCAACGATCTTTTGGGACTGGATCTCTCTATCATAGTCACAGCAACCCAGATTTAGCATCTTTGTCAGCTTACTGTGAATCAGAGTTAAGACCTGATTTTCCCGAGCATGTGCTTAAAGTGTACAGAGCAGACCAAACTTTTAAATATTTGCTTGTTCATAAGGTGTGCACCATGTTTATTTCTGTGTCTAACTTATATTTGTATTTGGAAGACTGCATTAACTTTCACAGTACACTATTGTTCAGTTAAAAATTCATTTAAGGTTTAGTTTTTCTCCACTGAGCTGTACATTAACTACAGTCCTATTATTATACTATTTACTTAATTTAAACTTTTACCATTATTTCCTTAAATGAATATAACAAATTAACATATTTAATTAGAATTAATTATAAAGACAGAGCAATATTTTTACTCTGTATGCTGGTAAAACTCTACCATGACTTTACTGTTGTATAAACATTTCATAACTTTTTATCATTCTTAGGAAACTACTGCCAGAGAAGTGGTGATGTTGTCACTCCGAGAGTTTGGAATAACAGACTCCAGCAGGTAAAAACATTAGATAACCTTTTACTGTTGTGTCCTTAGAAATGAACTAGTCTGTTTGTTATTATTATTAAACTTAAATTTAAAAGCTCTTTATTAAATTATATTTAACTGAGTAATGTTTTTTTATGGATTTTAAAGCTAGAAAACTTGGATGTTGAGAGGCAGAATTCAGATGGGATGGATATATAAATGTCCTATTTAACATAAGGTGCTTACTGCTTAAGGACAGTTAACACTAAGTCAATGGAATAATGAAGGCTAGTTTTGCCATATCCATTGTTAACTAGTTCCTGATCAAGTGATATATTTTGAAGTTATAGCATAATATGAAGCTCAGTATTATTAAACCATAATGTTAACACATTCATTGGAAACTTTTATACTGACTTGCATACTTTTTTCTTTCTTAGTAATTATTCACTCTGTGAGGTCACTTGTGGAGAAGGAGGTGTTGTTAAGCAACGAAGATTACCAGATCAAATACAAAATTTAGCAGAGCGTATAGGACTCAGCAGTCGTTACTACTTAAAGAACAATTCATCAACTGAAGCTCTTGTACCTGATGATCTAGCAGGAGTAAGTTTTTTTATCTTTAATACAAAAATTTGTCTTGTATATATTTCAATTCCCACAATAAACGTTTTTTTTTGGGGGGAGGGGTGCAGTTGTGAGTTTGATAAGAAAATTGCTCTTAGTAACAACCTAATTATGTAATTAAATCATTGTTTTGTGTGAATTTACATTTTGTTATATGTTGGTGAATGTGTACTATTAACATGTTGTGCTTATTAATTTTTTTAAAGTTCAAATCAGATAAACTTGCCTCTGAAATACTAAAGGAGAAGGTACATGTACATAAACTCTGTACATATTGACAGTCGTGCTGCTTACTTCAGTTACTATGAATTCTGAAGTCGATGTTAACTACTGCTACAAATGTTTTTACATTGGAGCTGTTATAACTTCTTTAGAGGTCTTACTCATGCAGCCTGCCTTTAATGCACAGAGATTCTGTGGCTGTACTGTTGGCTCTTATTTATCAATTCAGTCAATTAGTTCTGTATTGTGAATGCTCAATTCTGGAACATTCTCTATTTTCTCATGATGATTAAAAAACAAATGTTTTTTGCGTAACCCTGTTCTCCATCACTGTCTGAAATACAGAATTGTCTGCTAGCTTTAATTCCAAAGAAGCTTCTGCTGTTCTGATTTCTTGTGTATGTTCAAAATTTTTAATCTTTAACTAGTTTCTGTCATATCTAAGGGTGCTAAATGTCATGTTGGACAATTCAGTTTTAGAATCTTTATATTTTCCACTTTCTCCTTATTTTCAGGCCATTGTGAGCTCATTTAGAAATCAGCTAAATGCTATTGGCCTTTTAGCAGAGTAGTCTTCCTCTACACATCTTACATCTCAAGTTCTTTGAATCCTCAGATTATTTTTCAGCTTCTTCTGTGCATTATTTATCTTTGCAGGATTTTTACCAACACTATTCACTCATTCAGGAAAATTATGCCAGCAAAAGCTGATTAAGGTTTTAGCATTTCGATTTACTTCTGGTAGCCATCTTGAAATGAGCAGCAGGTAATGTTCATCCTCTTGCCTTGTCTCCTTTGTGTTGTACATATCCTTCTTCCTTTTTGGCCCTACCATGTAACCAAACATATTGTAAGTAAGTAAGATCGGTCAGTTTAGTCCTCTCAGTGACTCTATGTTCCAGAGAAATCTCCCATCTAAACTTTTTTTTGGGGGGGGGGGTTCAGATCATTAGTTCATTTGTGAGATCCTTGGATTTGACAGATCCTTCATTCTAGTTTTAATGCCTTATTATTATTATTCCAGTCCAGTCACTTATAAGTTCTGGATAAGGAAGTCTCAAATCTCTTTCAGAAAGGAACAATCAAAATTGTTCATCATGTTTCTCCAGGTTTTTTTGGTTTGAAGACATTAGGAGATTGGAGTCCTGTCACAATTCATCTTTACATAAAGAGAACTCATTTTCAAATGGAAGATATGAGGTTTCTTCTACAGTTTCTTTGTTGTGACCATTGGATACCTTTCCCTAGCCTTCAAGACATCAAGAACAAGAGACTTGTTCTCAATCTAATGTCTCAAAGTCCCAGTTTTATTTTCATCTTTTTCTTAACTTTATTTGGTGTTCCCATTACACTACCTGAGAGTTGTTGAGCCCATCATAGAATCTACCTGATTTATTTTTATTTTTCCTGGGGGCCTACTGACTAGGCCAGTTTTGTGACTTGGCTAGACTTTTCAGAAGAGAAGAAAGTGGCCTTAGTTCCAGGAGCATGTTCAGTCATTAGTTATTACTGGTCTCCTTCTCTTAGAATTTTCCATTACAAGCTAAAGACAAAGCACTGTGCTGACTCTGCATACCTGATATATCATCACATGAGGATATGCATGATTCCATAGATACTTATATATCACCCAATACCCCTTATATATTATTCAAAAGGTGTATAGGACAATGAGGTACCCTGCTGATATGAATGCCATCTTTCTGAATATCCTTATTTTGGTCCAGTCTTCTATTAGGCTAGGTTGTTCCACATATTTCTCCCATGAATCTAGTAATTCAGAAGTTACATGGTTGTTGACAACATGAAAGTGATTCAAGAAAGAGAAGCCAAGCCTCATGGGGAAGTACCTGTTTGAAATTCATTTTAGTTCTCAAAATACAAAATTTTACCTCAAGTATAAAATCACCATTAGTAAAAATATCATTATTTTTAAGTAGTTTTGTTGATTTATGCAGTTAGTTTAATTAGACAAATCACATGCATACATAAAATACATTAATTATGCATGAGTAAACAGTTATTCTCACATTAAATCTCAATCTAGTCTTGAATTTAGTTAAAGAACAAAAATATATAATAACCAATATTTTTTGGTGTGATGCTACAGGAACTCTTGCGAGAAAGTCAAATTAATTTCCTCCAGTTAAACAGTGTGGAAGTAGCCACCCAACTTACATTGGAAGATTTCAACATTTTCTGCCATATTGAACCTACTGAATACATTGAAGACCTTTTTGAAATCCACTCCAGTTATGGAACACCCACGCTTTCACAGTTTGCTGAGGTAAATAAGAGAACCAAAGTTCTATGATAATCATACAACCTGTTTTCTGTACCTTAGAACTCCAACGATGTATAATTGGGAATTTTGTACAAAGATTTTGTTGCTGTTATCACAATAAGATGTATTTTCATTTTAAGTCCAAATGGTGTATAAAAGAAAACTGCTACTACTGTGTGGTGTTGAGAGAACTATTGTTTGCTCATATGAATGTTCTTTGTTGCATGAGAGACTGTAAAGAATATTCTTTAATTTATAATTGAAAGAAAAGGTCATAATAATAACTGAAATCAACCTTACAGGTTTGTGTCTTTTATCTTTGTGACTTGAGCAGTGTTCAAATAATGAATATTAGCAAAGTTATGTAGAGATTACATGAAATTCAAAGTTGTCATGTAGCTAATGAAAAAAACCATTAATTGTGTTTGTTTCCAGCTTAATATATAAGATCAAGTATTTGTAAATTGCAGAAAGCAATTTTTATAGTTTTTTATTTTATAAAGAGGTCATATCTACAGCAATATTCATAATTTGTTAGTTTGTAAAGAGATTGTGTCATCATTAATCTTTATAGTTCATTAGTTTATAAAGAAATTGTATCTTCAGCAACCTCTGTTGTTTATTAATTTATAAAGACTTTGTATCTACCAAAACCTTTATAGCTCATAAGTTTGTAAAGACATTGTATCTTCAGCAAGAGTTATAGTTCATTAATTTGTAAAGAGATTATATCTACATTAATCTTTATAGTTCGTTATATGGAATAGATTCAGCAGTGAACTGCCTACAGGCTGTAACAGTTTTGGAATGATGCGAACGATTTACAACTTTTGTTAATGCAGCCCTCAACAATAAAGTATTTTGCAAGATAAGATTGGATATTCTCTGCATGGGATATCTGACACTAGATGGACAAATCGGGTTGCTAGTGTATAGTCATTTGTGGCTCACTTTCTTGGTATAAGAGTAGCCTTAGAAAAGGTTTTGATTCTCAATCTCACTCGTAAAACAAGGAATGATGTAAATGGTGCAATAATGTATGTATCTTCATTTGCATGCATTTTCATGCCTGCAATTTGGTTGAAGATCCTTGTGATAATTGCTAAAAGAAACTTGATGATCCAAGCTAGAAAAGCCACTACTGGTGTCAAAGTCTCAATATGGAAGTCTTCTTGATGACCTCAAATGGTTATGCAAACAGTTTGCCAATCTGAAATGAAGCAGAGTTTTTCTCCAGTGTTATGCACATTATATCAGAATTTCCAGCAAAGTGCAAGAGTAAAAGAACTTTTTTCAATAAGCCTTTAAATGAAACATTAATTCATGATGAAGAGAGTTAGAGCAAAGTTTCCTACGTTATCATTGATTCCATATAGCTGGTCTTACAAGCCATTGTGATGCCTAAAACAGCATCAGTAACTTCTTCGGGTTTTCTTTGCCGCTACCATGAGTTATCAATAGAACAAGTTGAAAATGTATATAAAGATTTCAGAGAAATACACCAACGATGTCTCGCAGTGTCAATTCAAAGATGAAATGCTCCATTTAAAAGCAGTCCTCAATGCAAAGTTTGCAGAGAAGGCTTTGAGCACACTTTATATTTTGAATAAAACCATCATTTTCAAGTTACATGACATATTCTACAATGTTTCCATTGCCCTGAGGATGTTTTGCACATTGCCTGTAACTGTTGCATCAGCTGAGCATTCTTTCAGTAAGCTGAACCTCATAAAGAATTTCATATGGAGTATTAAGACTCAAGAGACTGAATGGCCTTGCTGTTCTTATTATTGAAAGTGAACTGACACAAAGGATTGACTTTAGTAATATAATAAATATGTTTGCACTTAACAAGGCATGCAAAACTTTATACTAGGACTTTAATATTGCTTTGTAATCAGCGATGCATTTAAGCCAATACTTAAATTAAAATATGAATGATAAAATTACTACAACCCACTTAATGTGTACTTAAAAAGCATAAATATCAGAACTAATTTCTGTAACTGGTTTAAATTAGGATTAATAAATAGTTGAAAGACTAAGATCAAGTAGGTTAGTCCTTTAAATGATCACCATAATGACAAGGAGATATATGCTGGGGCCTGTTTCAGTTCTCAGTGGTCCTGAATCCAGCATTCTTTATGCTTCATTAGTTTATAAAGAGGTTGTATCTTCAGCAATCTTTTATAGTTTGGATTTTAAAGAGATTGTATTGCAGTTCAATAATATATAAAGAGATTGTGTTGTAGTTCAATAATATATAAAGATATTGTATTGTAGTTCAATAATATATAAAGAGATTATATTGTAGTTCAATAATATATATAAAGATATTGTATGGTAGTTCAATAATATATATAAAGATATTGTATTGTAGTTCAATAATATATACAAAGATATTGTATTGTAGTTCAATAATATATATAAAGAGATTGTATTGTAGTTCAATAATATATATAAAGATATTGTATTGTAGTTCAATAATATATATAAAGAGATTGTA